TGTGATTTTTATTTACCTCTTTAAAAGTAGAACTTTTTCCAACACAATCGAGGACAAGTTACTTACGTTAATCCGATTTCATGTGCGAACAGTCCCCCGGCTTGTTCAAATGAAGTGTATTTTAAAACAGAACAATGGTTGCTATTACATCCACGGAAACTCGCTAAACCATTATCGTCATAGGTGTTCACAACGGAAGACCTGCAATGAATGAATTATTAATATTAGATATTATGTGATATGCATTTTCAGTGCGAGGAGTGCTTTTTAACTTGGGCATTTGAATTGGATTGCCACTTCGTATTATATGCAGAACACCTCTCACTGATAAATGTAATTGTCATTAACCGAAGATTGTATATTTCTTCTGGTGGACACGATTTCACATGAACTGCACGAAATCCAAAGTCCGTGAGATGCTCACATTGGTCAGTTATTAGTTCTCTACACATCACAAGAAAAGGTAATGGAATTTCACGTTTATCGCAAGTGATATTAATGCACCATTTTTTTAATACGTAAAAATAAATTTAAATAGACAACATTCAATTGTCTACAGTTCTTCACGGAATTTGCAAAAAATACTTAAAAGATGGAAACAAATTATGTCAGGTTTTCAAAAAAAGGTTAAAGCGCGGCGGTCGTCGCGCTGCGCATGTGCGATATTCGTGTTGATAAACATTGGTTTTCCCACAATCCAATGTGCTCTTCAAATGGAAATCACAAGTACATTTTTTTTGTATGAGGTTTAACCTGGGCGCGACTTGCACTGAATACCACCGGCGACTCCTTCGATAGCGTCCAATCACCTAAAATTTCTAATTAAAGCTTGTTAACGTCTCAGTTTGTACTTGTTGATCTGCGCAACAGTCAAAGTCGCCATCTTTGTTTATATGAGACCCATATATCTCGCGCATGCGTGGCGCGACGACTACCGCGCTTTAATGTAAGAAACTCAGAGTACATTGGCATTTTTATGCAGTGAGTATCGATGAAACAGGTAAAGAGAAACTGGTATAGATAATGTATCTATGCCAAGCAATCTTGCACTATCGACTTATTGTAAACCTTACCCTGCAATCACTACAGCTATATCATAGTGTTCTTCGTCACTGTTATTTTCTACCCAGTAGTCTGGTTCCCATCCCGAGCAGTAAGCCGAATATAAACCAATGATGTCATGCCATTTATCCACATCATACATGTCCTATATTTGTACAGATGTAGTATAACATAAAATATAATTTACGAGGAGGTACGTATCAATAAATACATCCAACACGAAGGTGATTTTCAAGTCAGCTTATTCATATAAAGTTGATCATCTTCACGATTTCATTTATACCACTTTCAACTGCGACGTGATTTACTCAGCTTAATTCAAGTAAGAGTCGAGATCTCGTTTGGAAAAAAAGAGACTTAAATCTTTGACCCGTAAACATTGATGAATCAACTTACCTCTAGGATGGTTGCTTCAAATACTTGCATTTTAACCACGTGCAGCTTGACGTATATGCCACTGTTGACCAAACTTTCATGGAGGTACACAGCTTGTGCCTGCGCATATAATTTGCGATAACGAGTTTAATACGAGTCAAACACTGGCGTGGACTAGTATACCAACATGCAGTGCGTGAATTACTAACAAACGCCACGGTCACCATGCAGTGCGCGTCGGACTGTTGCGTTACAGGCGTTGTATACATCGCATGGGACCCACACCGTCTAGGACGCGGCACGACGACCCGTGGCGTTATGCCATTATTGTTTCCTCAAAATCAGACAATTGTGAAACGTTGTAGAGTACGCTTCGCGATAGGTGGCGCCCCCTAGCGATGATCGGTTTCTGTGTCGTAACCGAGTGAACGAAAGAATGGTCACAACGTCGCTGTTGATTTAATCTAAAGTTGTCAATAAAAATAATGTTTTTGAGATATTCATATTTTTAAAACGAACTACACAATCAATTACATTTGCCGTTTTTGAAATACATTGCTTCTAATTATGTGCGCGATTTTGACGTCACGAGAGCGTTCTGTTTCTAGAGAACGTGGCTTTATCCTCGGGCGGACATCCGGGCATTTTCACCGCCTGGTAACCATCACGGTGAAAAACAAAAGCCGAAAACTTCCAGAAAACAGTACTTCTGGATAGTTGATGAGACTCTCCTGAACATTGTAACAAGATTACCCCTATATGTACAACATATACGTATATATATCAATTTGGTTGCTCAGGATTACTTCAAAGTTGAGTTTGTGCTGTTTTCTCAATTTTAGCTATTTTCACCGGCTCTTCGACCGGCGTTCAACAGCAGCTCGCGCAGAGCCCATAGAAATACAAGCTACAGTGGTGAGCGCCTTAGCAACGTAGAACGTTCTGTGACGTAGCTGATAAGTTGAGAATGTCTGCTTACATGATTAACCAAGGACAATCCGAAGTTAGTAGACTGGTCTCGATATTGAAGGTACATATCATATCCAATCGTTACCATAATTTCTACATGGATTTCTCTTTGATCATCAACATTTCTCTTGTTTCGATGTTTTGTGGTTGTTATTGGTATCTCTTTTTTAATCCTGCCAATATCGCGACTCGGTCTGCTTAGATTGAACTTTTTCCGTACACCAACTTCTTCAACCGCTGTAACAACAAAATATAACCAATGCACGTCAATGCGTATCGTCGTGCGCATCATTGATAAGCTGTTTACGTCAAAACACACATTATTTCAATAAATAGCGCCCTCTAGTGATGAAATAATTCAGTGACGTCAAAATGACGTGGGGGGGGGGGCAAAGTCGTTCAAATCGACCACTGTGTTAAGTTGCGTAGTCATTTATTGTCTATAAAACGGTAAAATCTCTAAAAAACATAATATTTATTCATGGACGACCACAGATAAAAACGATATTATCGATTTGGTTGGCTTTCTTGTCACCCATTTACGTCATTATAGCGCGTAATCACTAGAGGGCGCTTTTTGAAGAAAGTTGTACATATCAGTATGAACATGAATATACATGAACATGTTTGCGTTTTAAAAGTGTCATAATTTGGAGATGCTGAATTGTTCGAGTTACGGACATCGAGTTACGAAAACATCGAGTTACAAAAATGACCACGCCCGTATTTTGGAAACCACGCCCAAATTTATAACTCGATGTTCAAACAATTAACAAAACCTACGGGCAACATATAT